CCCTTCCTTCGCCGTGAAGTTGCTTTTAGCATCCGCCCTCTTTTTCAGCCTCCTCCCTTGCCCGTCGGAGATGCCTCACCGTTGGCAGCGCCCGACAGACTGGCACACTTTCACAGCGGCCCGAGGCAAGCCGGCAGGCAAAATAATACTAGCAAAACACCTTCTGCTGGGGTTTAGGCTCGAGGGATCGTCCGTCCGTGCATTCGCCCTCTAGGACATTCTTGTCAGAGACCTGCTTCGGCTTCTCTTGCTTCCCCAACATCCCGCCGAGCCCATTCGCCGCATACTCTTTCCTTGCTTCGGGCCCCAGAACGCCTAGGGAAAATCAGACGCAAGAAAGCAAGCAAGCAGGCGGCCTTCTTTCCTACCATCATCAGTGCGGCCCTTAACAATGCCTAGGCGTTGTAATAGCACTACTGTGTTGTATCATCATGAGCCAAGTCTTTCCCGCCTTCAGGTAGCATCCGCCGAGCGCCATCACAGTCGCAAGTACAGCAGCATCCAGCTCTTGGCTTCCCTTCAGATGTTCCCCAGCGCTTGGCCTCGAACCCCCTTTCTTGCGCGTCTCTTTTCAGGGTATTAGCCACTGTGGATTTTCCTCTGATAATCTGCGCGTCGACGATGGGGCACATCTGTGGCATCTGTTGCCGGCCTCGCCCAGTTGCCCTTTCTTCTGTTTGTCCCCACACGCAAGAGGCCGCGCAATAACGTGCTCCAGTCCCCTGTCACGAACCAAGCGCCGCGAACCTCGCCCATAGTTGCATTTCTGCTTCTTCCAACGCAATTGACGCTCGCTTGATGCTGCTTCCGAGAGAAAGAGAGCAAAAAAGAATGGACGCCAAGTTGGATGATCATCAGAAATCGTTCGGCTCCTGTTGCGCATTTCGTTTCCGCGTGGGGGTGCTCCGCTGGCTGAGCGTCACTTCATCCATCCACACATGATGTATCGTGTTTTGTACCTTACCTGAAAGTGCCCATTCATTACGCCAGCAGGATAAAACAATGTACCCGGTCAGTAGCTTATTTGGCCCGGAAGAACGACGGCTGCCCACAACACGAAGAGTGCCTCCACTTCTCTCCCTCCCAATCATGCCACAGACGTCTCCTCCCCGTGCCATTATCTCCCCGCCAGTCCTCCCCCCGTAAGCCGTCGTCGTCGTCGTCGTGCTCCAGGCCCCGGCCGCTCCGCCGCCGCTCGGCGCGGTTTGATCGCCACGGTTCCCGGTAACGGGCACACGCGGTCTGTCGTCAATGTTTGTTCCTACCTCCCCCCTCCTTCACGCCTGCCGGATGGAGGGGCAACGTTGGTACGATCGCCCAGAAAGCAAAGCGGACAAAACCGGCAATTGTTAACTCTGTCACCTCTTACTTTTAGTCAGAAGTCTTTCTGGAACGTCCACACTCTGGTAACTATAGCCCATGTATGACAAGGTTCTCGCGACAGAATTAGCAAGCCCGAGCGAGAGGGAAGGTCAAGCAGAAGCCAAAAAGGCATGACTGTGGAAAAGTAAAGTGTAGACGGCTCGGCCGATGAAGCAGGATCGTCGCGGCGGGTGAGTTGAGCCGAGCAAGGTCGCACGTCTCGACTCTACCAAATTTTGTCACCGTCGCAGTAGCATCGGACCTTAAAACCATTACCTGTCAACGGAAGGGCCCAATGAGCACCCAGACACGCACTAAACGTAGGGCCAACAGAGCCTCCGACGTAATAATCGTTAACGTTTTTGGCTTTGAATCTCGCTACCTTTTGCCCTGCCCACACACTTTCCTGCTGTTTGTCTGCTCGGCTGTCGCTCATATCGAGTATCAGCCTTCGCGCATATAGGTCTGGGCGAACAAGGTTTGTCCCCCGGGGAAGCTTTTGCCCATGTTTCGTTTGGTCCTGCATTCGACGACGCCCCCCCCCCCTCCATCCACTCTTCGCGCGGGATCCTTTTTCCTTTCTTCCTTTCTTTTTTACTACGGTACTAAGAATAAACTGAAGTAAGGTTGAGGCCCTACGTCGGGTGCCGTTGCCCTTTCTCTGGAGACTGTTTTGGGGATGCATGCTTAGGTAGAACCCCTGCATCCCTATATTCCCCCCAAGTCCTACAGGCTGGCCAAGAAGAGGAAGATGTCGTGTGCGCCTCACCATCACCCCTTGCTGTTGCTGTCAGAAAGATTAACCAGCGTATCCGTCCCGAGGCGACAAATCATCGTCCCATCAAAGCCCGGCTGTCCGGTCTGCCGAGGACAGTCCCCTTTAAATGCCAAGAGAAATGATGTTACTGGATGGGCCAAGCGCCGCGCCGCCCAGCACCGGAGGGGCCGCAGCAGCAGCAGCAACCAGCGCCGCCCCAAAAGTGCGAAACGCCGCACCAGACGAACCGGAATGAAACATCAAGCAGCGGCGGGTGCCGTCATTACTTTTTCTTTCTTTACTGTAGTGTCCTGCTTGCTGCTGACCTCGCATCTTGACACCCAGACTTAATCTGCGCCCTGATCCGAGCTTATGGGTGGCTTTCAAAGTTCGGCAAAAGGACGAAGGGAGCTGGGCAACGCTGTGCATTCTAGCTTTTTCTTTTCTTTTTTCCTGTACTTTATTTTGAGGTGCCTTTCTTGGCGGGCTGGAAGGGTAGCACTACTTCGTAGAGGATGTGGTGCAAGCAAAAGCGAGATCGTCGTCTGATGGCACGGGCAAAAGGTAGATGTACAGGCAGACGGACATGTTACCGACAGCCTGAAAGCGAATGCGTGCTGGCCAATGAAGACGGGTGATTCGACATTTCTAGCTGCAATTTGGTGAGGAGACTCTTCTCACCCAGCGAGCTTCTTAGAAAGAGACATGGTACAAGTGAAAGCCTGTCTCAGCTGTGCAGATTCAAGCATATCCATCAGCAGCAGTTATTTTCAGTCGTAGAATGGTACCATCAGCAGCCAGGTCTGTCTCTGTCCCACCGCGCTTGCGGACCGCGGGCCGCGACCAAAACCATCAGTTCCTCAGCATGCCAACTCGTTCCAGGCCGCAACCGTGACTCCCACCAGAACAAGCGCCAGATGCGATGCGATGGAGATGCGGTTGCGATACACACCCGTCGTCATGCCTTGTTCCGCGATGTTGCTCTTCCATGGGGGGCCCGTAGGCCGGTACCTTGTTCTTCCCCACCCCACGCCCAAGCACGACCAGACAGACGAGAAAGAAGAGTCCGCCACAGGGGTCTCATTCACTCTGAACATGGGGTGGGTGGGTGGTGGGTTGAAGCTGACACTTCTTCTGATTCTCAGCGGGAAAGGATAAGCTTCTCGGGAAGTTTTTGCCTTGCGGTCGCGGGTAGCATTCCTGGGGACTTCCCGACGACGACGGTCGGGATGGATGGGGTGGTGGTGGTCCAACACCCATGGCAGAGACAAAAAAGGCTGGGTCTTGTTGCAAGGTTTGACGTCGGCTCCGGACTTCGCCTCTGCTGCAACGATGCGACTTGCCTTGCCTTCTTGAGGGTGCCGAAGCTTGGAAGGGGAGACGCCAAGTTTTGCTTGGACGTTTTCTCGAGATTGCGTTATCCCAGGGCCAAGCTGTCAACGGGGGCACAGAGTCAGAGAGGGAGAGGAGGAAGAAGAGAGAGAAGCCATCTGCAACCGACGCCCAGGCTGATCGGGCAGCTTGGCGGGATAAGTCGAGACTGCCCTTTCTCGTGGCACTCGTTCTCGCACAGGATTGTGACTTGGCAACTGGAGGACTGAAGATAATTCAGCAACCAGCTGGGGGGCCGGGGCTGTGCTGTTCCTGTGCAGAGTTACGATGCATGCAAGTCTTCTTCCTCACGAGTGTTTCTCGACTCTACCCTTCCCATGCCCTCGCTGGGTGTGTGTAGCACAGATTATCGACCGGGAGATTGGCTGTCATCCCCCGTGGATGCAGCCACCTGCAACGACCCGGGCGCCTTCTTTCGATCTACTGCGTGCTTTCGTCTGAAGTCACCCAGAGAGAAGGTAACAGCCCAGGGTGGACGCCACCACCACCCCATTTTCTCATGGGGGTGGTGGTGGGTTGGAGTTGGGAAAGTGGTAAGTGGGCGCGAGGCGCGAAGCAGCACATTTTGTCAACATCTGCTACATCTCAGCCTGTCCGCCAAGAAAGTGTCTCCAGGCGTGAAACAGGAGATTTGACAAATCGTTTCCATGGTCACAGAGAGAGGCAGCGGGAGACGGATACTGAGGGAGTTGGGAGTCGGATCTTGCTGTCTCCTTCTCGCTCACGCCTGAATGGACACACGACGCAGAGAAATACGATCACGTCCATCGGAGGAAGGGGGGCGTGGGATCGCGACCTTGGCCAAATCGTGCAAAGAGGGCCACGGCAATCTCGCATGCCTCGCGTCACACGGGGATTCTCTGGTGCCATGTCGTACGAGGCATTGACCTGGCATCATTGCTATTGCTGTGTATCCGTAGGCCGCTGAGAAGGGCAATGACTACGTGGTTACTTGCAAGACACACAGCAGTGTTGTGCGGACTGCCAACGAAGCAGGCAAGAGAACAACTCGGGGGTAGATAGTCAGCATGGGGAGCCCCAGGAAAGGGGAAAGGTAGTGACAGCGGGAAGCATGGCGAGGTTATTCAGTGGATAAGGTAACCGCTGGAAATCTCCGACCAGGCCTTCACCGAGCTCACCGAGATGGGGCTGGTCCGAGGTGGTGAGCCCCGGTGAGCTGCCGGAGAAACCTCTGGGTAATCCATCTTCCGCGTTGGCCGATTAGATAAGATAACCTCGTGCCCCTTACGTGCCGACCCCACAGGAGCTCCCTCACCGAGCCCCTCACCGATACCGCCGAGGACCACGACCTCACAGCCATCTCCACCAAACCTCCCTCCGTCCCCAAAAATCCGCCGCAGAAACCATCACAGCGTCGCCGACTCTATAAGCCATTGCGCCTCCACAATGGCCGCAAATCCCCTCTTTCCCCCGTAACCACCGTAATCGCCAGCTGCTCACAATTCCAACAACCCAAAAATCATCCAAAATGCTCGCCCGCGCCCTCCGCGCCGCGGGCAGCACAAGCCCATCCCGCAGCAGCAGCTCGAGCATATCCTCCCAGCTCCGAACAGCCTGCTCCTCCTCCTCGTCTTCAGCACCAGAAACGGTCCCCTCCTCACCGATCCGCATCTTCCGCAACGTCTCCGCCCTGCGCACCTGGCGCCGTCCGCACCTCCTCAACTACCGCTCCGTCGGCCTCGTGCCCACCATGGGCGCCCTGCACGACGGCCACCTCTCCCTCATCCGCGCCGCCGCCCGCGAGAACCACCACGTCGTCGTCTCCATCTACGTCAACCCCGCCCAGTTCGGCGTCGCAGAGGACCTCGCCTCCTACCCGCAGACCTGGGCCCGCGACACCGCCGTCCTGCGCGACCTCGACCGCGAGCTCGCCGGCGACGGCGCCAACCTCGGCCGCGTCAGCGCCGTCTTCGCCCCCACCACCGCCGACATGTACCCCGCCGGCTTCCCGGGCCAGGAGCCGTCCAGCAAGGGCAGCTTCGTGACCATCACGCCCGTCGGCGATGTCCTCGAGGGCGCCTCGCGGCCGACCTTCTTCCGCGGCGTGGCCACCGTCTGCATGAAGCTGTTCAACATCGTGCAGCCCGAGCGCGTGTACTTCGGCCAGAAGGACGTGCAGCAGACGGTCGTGATCCGGCGCATGGTCGAGGACTTCATGCTGCCGACGGAGGTCGTCGTCGGCGAGACGATGCGCGAGCCCGACGGGCTGGCGCTGTCCTCGCGCAACGTGTACCTCGGCGCGCGGCGGCGCGCGGTCGCCACGGTGCTGTCCCGCGCGCTGCGGGCCGCCGAGGAGGCGTACACGCAGAGCGGCGCGCTGGAGCGGGACGCGATTCTCGGCGCGGCGAACCAGGTCGCCGCGGGCGTGCTCTCGGAGCAGGCGAAGCTGGCGCCGGCGGAGCGGGTCATGTTCGAGGTGGACTACATTTCGCTGGCGGACCCGGACTCGATGCAGGAGATCAACACGGTGGTGCCCACGAAGGGGGCCATCCTCAGCGGCGCGGTCAAGATGTTGCCTGTGGAGGAGCCGCAGCCCGGCGAGGATCTCGGGCACAGCGGCGGACCGTCGGTGCGACTTATTGACAACATTATTCTGAAGCCAAATACCCAGTAGGAGTTCAAAGGTTGGATGGAAGGAACGTAGGGTAGCGATGGTCGAATCCCACGTTTGAGTAGACTTGACGACAAAGAATGCCATTTTTGAGGACTATCAACACATTACCGCAGCCAAGCACCTTCCGGCGCGGCTTATTAGGCTGGCCAGTCTCGACAACAAGTCATATATGAGGGCTACAGGGCAACTTCCGCGTCCATTCAACGCTGTACGTGAGAGACATCCCTGGAACCCTCATATATGACTCATTGACGCCACCGACCAGCCTAATAAGCTGCGCCAGCAGAGGACAAACGTTGTGCGACTTCTCGACCCGGCCATCTGAGAAGAAAAGAAAGGACAGGATGAGAACATCGTAATCATATCATACCCGCTTTACACGTTTACAGTAATACAAAATTTACAAATGTGCTCGGTTCTCCAGTGACCTACGCCTCCTCTGCTCCTTGACGCTCTTCTTAAGCTGTCTCGCGTCCTCCATACTAAGGGTCGGCGACGCCCCCTTTTTGTCCCCAGTCTTGGCCGCCTCGAACAGCTTGCTGCCGAGCAGATCCGTCAGGCGGAGCACGCGGGTACTAACGGTGGCCCCGTCACGACGATTCTTGCCTTCACGTCGGCTGGAGGCGATCTTCTCGGTAAAGTCCCAGAGACGACCCGAGGCGTTGAGGGCGCCCGTCTCTGGGTCGCGTGTAGGACACCATTCGGGGTCGAGACGCAGGCGGGGTGGAACCTTGGGGTCTTTGGATTTGACGACTTGTAAGATACCTTCTTCCTCAAACCGCTGGTACGCGTTCTTTAGGGTCTCCTTGTTCACAGCTTCGAAGTAGCTCAGGTCACCCTGGTGGTAGAGTGTCTTGCCGAGCTGGAAATGTGTTAGTTGTGTGACTCCATGCTTGCCTGAATTTAACGTACCACTTGTGCACTACTCTGGGCTTTGCCCACCTCAATCCAGATATCGTCCTTCTGGCCAAGAGGTGTTGCCAGGCCCATCAGAGAAACCGCCGCGAGCCAGCTGGCCTCAATAAACGGCCAGATAAGGAAGCAGTAGAAGTCGTAGTTTTCCCGTCCAACCATTCTCTCGTGATCCGACAGGCCAACTACCACAACCTTGCCCTCCTCGTCTCGGTGAAGCTTGAGCACCTTGTCCGCCTCGAGGTCGCGCAGCGTCTTTTCCAAGTTCGCTGCCAGACCATCGCTGGGGAAAATGAACTCGCCGCGGAACAGAGAAGAGAGGAATTGAATTTGGTCTTGAAGCTCCTTGAACGAGATGTCTTGCATGGTCGGTCCACCTCCCTGCTTGACCTTCATGTACATCGCGGCGCTCACTATAGCTTCCGAGATGAACAGATGGATGGTCATGTTTCGGTAGAATGACAGCTGGAACCTGTCGACGGCATAGTAGGTAGGTTCTGGAAGGTCTGTCACGACGCCAACCAGGTCCTTGCCCAACACCTCCAGGCCACGCTCGATGATGTCGGAGAGGGGCGCATTTCCAAAGTGGGCAACACGACCGCCCTTCGCCCGGACTCGGTCAGTGAGCCAATTGACGCGACGTTCAAGCTCCGTCTTGCCTACGCCTCTGCCTCTGAGGGTGAGCAGCACGGTGCCGATCAGAGCAGTAGGCATAACCACGGAAACATCATTGACGTCTGACAACACCTTGTAACCGAGTGTGCGCAGGAGCTTCTGGCGGATTGCGGTATTCTCGGGGTTCTTCGTATCCAGGTTGAGGCCCGTAGGTAATCTGGACAGCCTTACAAGCTGCTCATTAATGAACCCACGCAGACTCCAAGGCTCGTGGAAGCGAACATCGACTCTGCCAAGCCTCAGGGACAAGACGGATGAGCCTCCAGAAACGAAATCTGCGAGGTTCTCCTTCTTCTTGGGCACGCCGAGCAACTCGGTAACGTAGCCCTCCGTCTCAATGACCTTGTCGTACTGTGTGCTGACTGGGCAGATGACGGCGTCTTCGACTCGCCCAGACAGGATGCTGTCGAGGATAAAGTTGAGAATACCAAACTTTGGAGGCAAGAGCTTGCCTGTCCTTGAACGGCCACCCTCAATGAAACACTCAAAGTTGTAGCCTCCCTGCAGCAGGGTGTCGATATACGTCTGCACCAAGGTCGTGTAGAGAATATCATCGCCGAACGATCTCCGAATCCACATCGCACCAGCATGTTGCAGGAAGCTTCCGACTAGAGGGAAGTTGAGGTTGTCTCCAGCTACGACAACCGGCAGGCCGAGTCCTAAGCGGTAGCAGATGAGCTGCAGCGAAACGTAGTCGACATGCGATCGATGGCAGGGCAAGAAGATAATGCTCTGCTTCTTCCTTTCGGCCTCCTCCGCCACCTTTCGTAGCCTCAGTACCTCTTCGCTAGAGACGTGGATGCCCTGGTGATATGCGCGTAGAGTCAACTGCGTGACGAGGTAATATGCGCTTCGGATAAACGTCTTGCTTTCGAACTTGCAAATCATGTCGTCGGTCATTTTCTCGGCCACCTCCTGGATTCCGGTCTCGATGGCCGCCCTTCTCCGCGCGCGCTTCAACTCAAAGTCCTTGTCATTCTTGTTGAGCAAGCCCTCCTTCTCTTCGACAGCAATGCGCTTCTCGGCGAGGTCGGTGATGCGCGACTGTAGTAGTGGCGCCGACAGCACGGCGTCCTTGATCTTGTCGCTAAAGCCAGAGTAGAAGATGGGCTGGCCTATGGCATTGTCGTAGGCGCGCCAGCCGGTGCCGGAGACGTAGAGGGAGACTTCGCGAAGGAATCTGGCGCATCGGCTAGTTAGTGTTGTTCCTGGATCCAAAAGGGGCCAAACTGCTTGTGGACATACTGCAGAGGCTCGGAGCGGAAGCGAGCCATGTGCTTCATCAGGGCCTCCTCCTTCTCGTCATCGCGTTGGGTTTTAATGTAGCCGCTGGGCTGGAGGGTGATTTGGTCGCCGAGGATCTTCAGATCCGGCGCGGAATCGTCGTTTTTAGCCATTGCGGTGGCGGATAGGGGTATCGTGGGGGAAATCGGGTATCGTTAAGTCGTGTCGAGTGCGTGGAATGGAATTGTTGGTCCTAGATACTCCGAAGCAGTCCGTTCAAGGCCCTTGCCATTGCCGAGTTTCGGTCGAGGAAGACGGGATCCCTTTTCTCGAACAAGACTGACTGCAAATGGCGTTGGAGATTGACGGGCTACCCAAGTGAAGTGGGAAACGGTGGAGGAAGAGCGTGGGAAGTGTTTTGATCGTCTCCTCCCAGCAGCTCCTTGCTCCTTGCGCCGAGCGTAGCCAGAACCAAAGAGTCGCAGTGTCATGCCGCGGGACATTGGGTGGACCGTTGAGGTCAAGTGCCACCCACCCGGACCACTGATCCGCGTCCGCGTCCGCGCTTGCTGCCTCCCACCTGCTCCCACGCTGTCTCCAAGCCGAGCTCGAAGCCCTTTGGCGGTTTTAGCGTTTTCGGCATGTGAAGACAGCACTGCCAATCCTTGCCGCTGCTGCAGGTGCCACTGATGGATGAGCCAAGCAGCGGGCAGCGACAGCAACTGCAGCAACAGCAACAGTGACTGGCCAGCACATTGCCAGCCGGCAGGCCATCCTGGTTCCCGCCCCACCACCCAATGGAAATGGAACCTGGAGGCACTAACATTTAATTTTATTTTCCGCAGCTTCTCCAGGAAATCGCATGCGCCTGGTTCTGCAGAAGCAGCCTCGTCACAGTCATCAGTCGCAACCGACGTCAACCAATTCTTCGCCAGGACAATAACAACCAGAGCAGTGTCGCGAGGGCATAGAGGCATCATGGCTCCCTCAAATCAGCCCATAACCCAGGCCCTCCTCGCCCGAGCGCACTCACCCGACACCGTCAACCGCATCTTCACAGACAAGATCCAATACCGACCTCTCTACCTCAGACCCAGCTCCCCGCCCCCGTCGAACCCGAGATCAACCCGCCGAAAGGCCCGCGAAGAGGCCAAAAGGAAGCAAAAGCTCAAACCCAAGCCGCTCTCCGCGCGCGACCGACGAAGGCGCGGCCTGCACGACGTGCCCCGCGATGGCCAGAAATACACCGTCTTCGAGCCCCTCCATCGCTTGTGGCTGGGATACATTGAGGAGATCCTGGGATCCGAACTCCTCGGCGGAGGAAGCGGCGCCGCTGCGAAGTTAAGCGCTGCCGAGTTCCATGGCGCCGAGGTCGAGGTTTCGCGCAGCTCGTGCCCGAGCCGTGTCGGCATCAAGGGCATCGTCATCAAGGACTCCAAGTTTTCGTTCGAGGTCATCACACGCAAGAACGAGATGAAGATTGTGCCCAAGGAGGGGACCTGGTTCAAGGTCGAGATACCGGTGAAGGAGCCCAGCCCCAGCGCTGATGCCGATGCGACGGCTGAGGAAGGAACCCCACGGCGATTTGTCTTTGAGGTTCTTGGCGACCAATTCCTCATGCGAGGCGCGGATCGGGCCAACAAGAAGTTCAAGAACCACTACTTGAAGAACATCTGACGCAACGCCGGAATTATCCATTGCACAAGATACGATACCCACACAACAGCTACGACTGAGCCAACAACGAGGATGCGGGCAGCGATATATCTGCGGCCTAGGAGCCGAACAGATACCGTCGCAGCATCTACGATTGGTCAAGAAGGCAGCCCGCCAGTCAATCATGGCGTGCTAGCCCTCACGGGACCTCAGACTGGGCCATCAGCCAAGATGCATGAGCCCAGGATAGGAGGACAGACTGCGCCGAGGATTAACTGGGGGAGAAATATCACGACACCGTCACTTTCTGCCTTTAAGACGAAGTAGATGGATACCTCATTGGAGGCTTAGCAAATACGCTTACCACCGGTTACGATGAGATTTCAGACCACGAAGGCTTTTGGTAGTCCTATCCTAATACAGCATGCACAAATCTATGGCGTGAAGTATTGTGTCTCATGTGATGACCTGAGTACCGTTCTCCTGCTACTCAATGGATTCGCGATAGGTGAAAGTGAAAACGCAGTCCATAC